ACAAGGGTTGTTGGATGGTGTGGGCCAGGATATTTTGGAAGAGAAACATGCGTAAACATAAACTGTTGGCGTTCCGCGCAGATTTCTCGGATCTGCGCTGGACCCTTCTTCTTGGCGCGCGGAGCGCGCCAAGTGCGGCGACAGACGCGCCAAGGGGTCCAGCGCGGATCCGGGAAATCCGCGGGAACCTCCGAATATTTATGTTTATGTCAATCTTCGCTCCCCTACGAAACTGGCCGCCGGGAGATGGGGATAGCTTTACGGTTCGGTCGGGCATGTATTTCCCCAACCAGAGCTTGCCTCTGTAAGGGTCCTAGCGGATTCATTTGGTTAAGTTAGCGTGGCCACCGATTTTCGCTGCACGCCCGGGTGCCCAGGTGCCCGGGGGTGCCCGGGGGTGAGGTTGGCCGCCGATTTTCGCTGCACGCCCGGGTGCCCAGAGGGTGCCCCGGGGTGCCCGGGTGCCCGGGCGTGCCCGGGGGTGCCCGGTGCAGTGCCCGGGGGTGCCCGGCGGTGCCCTATAGCCGTATAGCCCTGTAGCCCAATATAGCCCAATAGCCCTATCGCTCTATAGCTCAATAGCCCTATAGCCCTGAATGGGTTTTTCTCTGGTATCATTATGTTTATGCCAATCTTCGCTCCCCTACGAAACTGGCCGCTGGGAGATGGGGATAGCTTTAGGGTTCGGTCGGGCATGTCCCCCTACAGGCGGATTTTTGACGACAAATAGAAGATAGCCAACAAATACCCAAACATACTCAAACATGGTAAAAAGAAAAAGACATGCTCCCATATTTCTCGAGCGCGAAAGATACCCGTACCCTTACCTAGACAGGGTGGCAAAGGGGCCGGGGGGGCGGTTCGTCGCAGCTGACGGCGGCTGCACAAGTGTAGAAACGACAGCCGATCGAGCATTACAGACCGCTGTCTTCTCGGGGCGCACGTTAGCACCGATCGCACGTGCGTTCGAATCGGCGGAGTGCCCGACCCTGCGTTGGTTGTTGTCGATGTAGATCAGCTACTGCGGAGGCGCGCCCCCAGACACACATCCGGGCGTTGAGGAGTCAATGCGCACTCGGGGGCGCATGCGAACAACTTTGGCGCGAACGTCATTGCGCGACAACCGCCTTATCGCGAATTGCTCGATGCAGACACATCGCGAATCTGTGCCCTGGGCGAGGTCGCCAGAGGCCGCCCCCCTTGGACGGCCGTCTGCGGATCACCCCAGCCAGGTACGGTTGCCCCATGAAAACCCAAGAAACATACCCGTACCTAGCCGGGGTGCCGCAGCTCACCCCAGCTAGGTCCGGGTATGTTTCGGTGGTTTCAGGCAGGTCCCCGTACCTAGCCGAAGTGGCGGCAAGCCCAAAACGCTCTCGAGCACATATCATGCCCTCCAGAGCCGTCCCCGACGTGGCCGCTGCGGCCCCCCTGGGGGCGCGACATTGCAACGTCGTTCCTCAGGGCAGGCCCAGACGCATTGGTTGCCAGGATAGTGAGGAAATGCAACTCTTTATCGATTGGGACAGGCGCCGCCACATATGGGCGGCTTTGAACCGCGCACGCACCACGATACCCCGAGACGTCCCTAACAAAAACCAGCGCTTGTCGCTGCAATCGTACACCCAACCATCGAGCGCGCCGTTGCGTCTTGACGCGCGGATGCTGCACTGGCGCGCGCGGGGCGAGCTGACCGGGCACAATAGCAAGCGCCCCGTCCCCCGGACGGCCCATCTCACCCTGGCTGGCCCCGGGTACGGGTATCTCTCGGACCAATGAATATTGTTTCGGCAAGTTTTCCCCAATCAGTGCTTGCACTGAAGGGGTCCTAGCGGAAAATTGAAAAACATTGCGAAAATTTCCCGCCAATTTTAGTGGCCGGCCGGGTTCCCGGGTTCCCGGTTCCGGGTTCCCGGGTTCCTGCTTCTTGGTTCCGTGCCGATTTCGGTGGGTTCTGGGTTCCCAGGTTCCTGGGTTCCCGGTCGATCTCCCTATCGATCTATTGATCGATCCCATTTCAAACCATCCACTGATTGGAGCTTTCCTCTGGTGTAATTATGATATCCCCCCTGTCGAGGGACAGGCTCGACCTGACTTTAGGGTTCTGTCGGGCGTGGCCCCCTACAGGGGGATTTTCGACGAAAGATAAAAGATATCCCCAACATGCCCTCAACATATCAAACAATGCGCCAAAAATGGTCCCCAGGCTATTGTTGGACTATTTTTTGACCATTCTTGGGGTACCTTTTATTTTTCCTCGAACATCCCCCCATGTAGGGGGACAGGCCCGACATAAACTTCAGGGGTCGGGGGTGGGGCATGCCTGGCCGTGGCCGCCGTGGCCGCCGCTCGCAGTCGCCCGGGAGCCCACCGGCTCCGTGCACACCTCTCGGGCTCGTGCGCTCCCGGAGCCGCCGTCGTCGTCGCCGTCGTCGTCGTCGTCGTCGTCGTCGCCGTCGCCGTCGCCGTCGCCGTCGCCGTCGCCGTCGCCGTCGCCGTCGCCGTCGTCGTCGTCGTCGTCGTCGTCGTCGTCGTCCTTCCAGGTCGGCGGCACCAGCAGTAAGGCCTTCGCGATAGCCCTCCAAGAAACTTCACTTGCACCAGGGCGTGGGAGGGAAGACTTCGCACTCCCCACACGGGGACGCGGGTCGCGCATTCACGTTATTACCGGCGGCGGGTCGCGCGCGACCGCGCGCGCCACCGAGCTCGCATCTCCGCTCGCCCGACGAGGGCCCAGGCGGACATCATGATTCGTTTTTCCGCCCACAACTCGTTTCACAAGTGATGGTGGGAAAACAACGCCTCTCACTCTCACAAGGGTGAACCAGGCTGCTCTTCGAGAGCCCTCACCAAGGATAGACCAGCGCGTTCCACGACTCGCACAAGGACTGCTCGCAAATGGCCTGGATCCACCGCCAGGGACGTTCGACTTATGATGTCGCGGCGAGTGGCCGCCGTGGCCGCCGTGCTCGGGGGCGCGCAAACATGGATTAGCGATCCATGGATTTGGCGCGCGGTCGCCAAATCCACGGATCGGGGCAGGTGCCCTCCCCAACGTGCGGCCGGTGCCGCCTCGCTCGGCGGCGGAAATCCGCGATCTCCCAATGGAAACGGGACCCGTCGCCAATCCACGCCCCCCTTATCCGTGTTTGAGCATCGTCTAGCCGATCCCCGTCCCCACCAGCGTGGGCTGGGCCCCACTGGCCGATTTATTCCCCTGATGGGGATATACAGTCAACCTGTATAGTAAGGGGGTGCGATAAGGGTGCAAGGGCCTTGGAAGCTCATTTCGAAGTTTTCCGAGCGGGGCGCGGCCAACGAAAGTGGCCAAGGATGGACCGAGGAGGCAAGGATGCAAGGGTACCCTTGGGAAGGCTGCCCATCCTTACTATGCGGGTTGACTGCAGGCTCCGTGTCTTGGGCGCCCGAATGATCCGGGGTAACTCGGGTCCAGGGTAACTCGGGTTCGGAATCCCGTAAAACGAACCCGAGTTAGCCCTGACCCGAGTTATCCCTGATGATTTTGGGGCTCTGGACGCCCGAATTATCTGGGGTAACTCGGGTCCGGGGCAACTCGGGTTCGGATTCCCGAAAAGCGAACCGAGTTAGCCCTGACCCGAGTTACCCCTGATGATTCGGGGCTCTGAGACTCTGCCTTGATCCATGTCTGCGATCGCCCGAGCTGAACACAGCACCGGCCGCGGCCGCCGTGGCCGCCGTGCGTCGTCGGCGCCGCGGGCCGCCCGTGGCGGCCCCGCAGTCGTCAGAGGCTGTAGCGGCCTCTGCCGTCCGTCGACGCGCGCTGGAGCGGCCGCGAGCTGCGCCAGCAGTTCCCTGGAGGTCTCAGGACGTGCGCGGGTCAGCCCGGATTTGCGCCGATGTACCTGGATCTGCCTGGATCTGACTCGATTTTTGTCTGCATTTCCTTGGATTTCTCTGGCTCGCTCCCCGCAAGTCGATGGTTGAGCAGGGACCGACCGTCCCGGCATTCCCATAGTCTGAACACGACATGGTCGTAGAACCCCAAAAAGTTCTAAACACAAAAACAATGTCCCTAGAACATAACAACCCGATGTGATAACACAAGACAGTCCCAACCAGAATTGTTCTGAGAACATGTCGTGGGAACCGCAAGAGGCTCTTAGAACACTGTTTGGTAGGACTACTGGCCATCGCTCAGACGTCCATTCCCTGTGTTTGTTTCGGTTTCGTGCGTGTTTTTTTCGCCAGATGGTCGAGGATGCTCCTCGAAGGTCCTCGCCGCCGCGAAAGAAAATGCACACGTCCGAGCGATGCAAACACTACAGGCACGCCAGGACGCTTCGCCACTGCTTGAAGGATGGGGCGCAGCCACGCGCCGTCGCTTGGACGTCTATTCCCCGTGCACTTTTCGGCCTCGTGCGTGCATGTTTCCGCAGCGTGAGCAAACATGCTCCCCGATGGCCCCTGCCGATAAAAAAAAAAAAAACATGCACACATCCGAGCGATGCCGAGGCCACGAGGGACGCACCCCCCCCCGCGAAACTCTCGCATCAATGGCCACTTGGCCACCATCGCTTGGATGCGCCAGAACTGCAGTGCGAGAGCAACTGCAACCACGAACGCACGCACATCTCAATATGATGCATCAGCTCCAGAGCGAACCACATCAACCATAAAATCACCATACCGCCCCATTTAACCGAAGGATTGCAAAACAAAACCGAAGGATTGCAACAGAAAAACGAAGGATTGCAAAAAAACGAAGGATTGCAAAAAAACAAAGGATTGCAAAGAAACGAAAGATTGCAAACAAACCGAAGGATTGCAAAAAAAACGAAGGATTGCAACAAAAACCCTTCGTTTTTTTGCAATCCTTCGTTTTTTGCAATCCTTCGCCCTTTTGCACCGCACCCCTTTCCCCCCTCTAGAGAGAGGAGCCCCGAGGGCCGCAGCCCCCCCCCCGAGGGGGGCGCGGCGGCTGGCGCGGCGGCGGCCCGAGCGGCCCCCCCTCCGCGCACACGGCGATGCGCGCGGCGCGGCGGGCAGCCTGCCGGAGGGGCGGGCGGCCTGCTGCCGCGGGCAGGATACGCCACGAAAGCACATCCGTCGTCGTCGTCGTCGTCCTCGTCGTCGTCGTCGAATTCGTCGTCGAATTCGTCGTCGAATTCGTCGTCGTCGTCGAATTCGTCGTCGTCGTCGTCGAATTCGTCCTCGTCGTCGTCGTCCTCGTCGTCGTCGTCGAATTCGTCGTCGAATTCGTCGCCGTCGTCGTCGTCTCCCTTCAGGGTCGGCGGCACCGGCCGTAAGGCCTTCGCAATATATGCACAGACGCCATCCGCAACAACAAAATAGACAGACACCCTCCAGAGGGTGGCGGTGTATGGAGTCGCTGGTTCTCTGTGGTGATTTACACACGGCCACCCTCCCCTGAGGCCCAGGAACAATGCACTGGAGGGCGTCTGTGCATCTTTCGGTGGTGGACACGAGGTCGAGGTCGAGCGCCCCTGCAGCACCCCGACGACGCGCCGATGCTGGCGCGGCCCTCGCCCTGGTGCAGAGGCCTCCAAGATGGGGCCCGAGCGGATGGATCCGAACGATCGCGTCGCATCGCCACTGCATCGGCGATGCATCGAGGACGTCGGCGTGGGGCAGCATGGGCGCCACACCAAGCCACGTCGTTGATGTATCGGCGATACGGCGCGATCCTCCGACCCCATCTGCTCGGACCCCACCTGTGAAGGGGCCCTGGGACACGCAAAGAAACACACACACACACACAAATAACAGGATTCCCCACATCTTATCTATATCTTCTGGGTTTTTGTCCTCCCCCCCACTTCCCATATTTTCCCATACTTTCTGGGGATCCGACGATTCATTGGGTCTCTGTGTGTTCTTTTCCTCCCTGAACCTGGGAGGCCCGGATGGGGCCCCGCCGCCCTCGCCGCCGCCGCCGCGGTCGCTGCCTGCCAGCGGGGCCTGAGAGGGGGTCCGCGAAAAAAGCTGGTTGCAGAAGGTCTCGCGCTCGCGGCTGCATTCCCCCACAACTTTGCCCTCGTCGTGGTTCCGCTGCAGACCACAGTTCAAGTCCGCAAGGATGACAGGAGTGCAGTGGCGAGGCACGTGGAGAAGAAGAGCTTCCCGAGCCCACGAGATGAAGTGCCCGCGTGTAGCTTTCCAGAGCTTTGCTTCGCCAAGTCTGGATGGTCGTGGCGGGCAGTCGAAGACAAATCGAGCGAGGAGGAGGGGCCCAGATCCCACGAACACCAGCCTCCCGCGCCCGCGGAGTCCGACATGTGGGGTACGATTCTCCTGATGCTGCCGGCGTGGAAGAAGCGCTTCGCCCGGAAAACAGCGCGCCCGCGGCCCTTGTTCACCATCGTCGACCGAGCCCATCCGAAGTGGATCGCGTGGTGGAACGGTGCCTGCGCTTTGTGGTGCTGCTCTCCCCGCCGTGCTCGGGCCGTCGCGCCAAGGGGGCCAACGGCCCCGATGTCCTTCAGCGTCCTCGGAAACTGCCTCGAGCCTGCCCGCCGAGACCAGGTTCTGCGGGCTGTAGGCTTCGGCGAAAGCTTGCCTGAAAAATCCGTCGTCTCCCCGCCCGCCTGCGCGCCGCTGCGCAGCGCCGCGAGCCAGAGCAATAGGCGTGCCCGCCGGCCCCCGTGACAGACCGGGGGGCCCCCGGGCCATCGCGGCTGCCCCGCGGGCGCGGCTGCCCCCGTCGCGGCCGGCGTCCCCGCCGAGGGGCTCCGCAGTCGGGAGGGGCCCGCGCGGGGGCGGGGCCTGGGGGGAAACGGGGCGCTCCATCGCGGTGATGGTGCGGGCGTGCTTGCGCGCGCCAGCCTCCGGACACGGCCGGTGCTCTGCGCGTGCCTTTGGCGCGTGGCCCGGGCTTCCCAGCCGGCGTCGCCGGACTCCACCTCGAACGAGATCGTGTCAGGGGCGCCGCCAACGCGGACCCTCACGCAAGCGCGTTCTCAGTCGGCAGTTCGACGCTGGGCGGAAAAAAGGGAGGTGGGGGGTCTGGCTCCGGACGTCTGCTCGATGCGGCCGTTTGCAGCTGCGCGTTCTCTGGGCGAGAGGCCCTGCCAACTCGAAACGCAAAAACAGCCGAGATCTCCTCCAGGGGTGGGGGCGGGGGTGCGAGGGCCCTCCCAGATCGGCAAAACAACGGATTACCCAAACGATCGCAATCGGGGAAGGAGCGCGGTTTTGCCGCTCTCGGCCGCGCGAGATGCGGCAGAGGCCTTGGTCCTCCACCTCCTCGGACGTGCCCGGGCCTTGGTCCTCCTCCTTCTTCTCGCCCGCCAGCTCTGCCCCGTCGATGGCGTGGCGCGCGATGCCAGGGCCCATCGAGCCCGTGTCGATGCCCACCCGAGCTGGAGGCCGGAATTCCTTCCCGCACGTGCTTGTCATGGCGGGGGTCCGGAGTCCAGGCGGGCGACGCTCAGGCCTTGATGTCCCTGAGCGCTTCCTGCCGTGCTCGGAAAGGCACCCCGACAAACAACGAATCAAACATGCGTCGCTCAAGTGGGATCGGCGGCAGAGGCGGCAACCTTTCGATGATAATGCGCTAACATGATGGCCGGCTGAGTTGCTTACCCGCGCTCCTCATCCTCAGGAGATGACTTACAGCGCTCTTTAGAAGGTCTGCTGTTCCACGTGACCATCAAACGGTTCTGAATACTCGTCGACGGCGCCAGCCCGTGAACTTCAAAGACTTTCAAATAATGAGAGCCCATCTCTCCGCGAGCGCGCGGTACCGACGTTCTCGGCGACCAGGTTGAAGAACCTGTACGGACTTGCCACTTGCCAATGAAGTGTGCGTCGTGACCGACACCCTCATCCAACATCTGGTCATATAACTTCAATGCCGGTTCCACTTTATGAATTCCATGAGGTTTGGAACCGTGGGGGCGACGCTCTCCGTGTGCCAGACGGACATCGACAGGTGTGGTCAACATCGAACACCATTTGTCGATCACCGACTTCGTGGCAGTTATTCCTCTCACCTTAGAAATGCACCCTGCGCTGTACGAGATGAGGAAGCAGATCAGAACACCAACCTCTGGAAGAAACTAGATATCGGGCTTCATTTCGAACGCGCTGCACGCCAGAATAAACAACAGCAGGCTCAGTGCGGAGACGGCGCGCCCCGACCAACCCTTCTGCGTGGTCCGTCGCATCATCGGGAGCAGCATGTCAATTTGGTCTGCTGGAGCTTGGGGTCAGGATGGTGGATGCGAAGTGCTTGCCAAGCTCCGATTGTGATATCAGGAGGGTGGATGTGAAGTGCTTGCCGAGCACCGATTGTGAAACAGTTTCTCGAGCCAAGATGGGTATGGAGGGCGTCTCAGGGGTCGTTTTAAGCCGTCCTGGCGCAGTCTGGAAACCATCCGGGACGTCCAAACCTTCTACTGTGGGCTCTGGGGTTTCGGGAAAGGCTCGCTCGGCAGACGCCCGGGGGAGGCTCCGGGAGGGAAGGGGAGGGGACACTTAATACACCCTGGGTGCCCCTGGAGCCGGGTGTCCAGCATGTAGATATTTCTATATGAAATACATGGTGTTCGTCTCAGACATCCGCATCTGCCCTTGACATTTCCCTGCGCTATCTGAAAGGCGGAACGTAAACGAGAGGATGGGCGCGGTGCAAGACGATCGGGCACTTGGGAAAGACGTGCGTAATCTTGCACGCAAATGTGCGCCATGAGTAATCGACTGACAACATGAAGAACAAGTCGTGCCCGGTTTGCCCACTTAAATCCACTCCCTGGCTCCCGAAGGCATCTTGAAGCCTCTGACCCAGCGCTGCTCACGTTGTGCTCGAACGGCGGGTCTGGCGCACCTGGCGCCCAAACTGGAAAGGTGCACTTCATCTCCGTCATCCTGTGCCTCCTTCCCATGGCCGTCCACGGCAACATCACAACCGACAACCAAGCGAAACGACAACGAAATCAGAAACGACCGAAATCGACAGACCAGAAGCAGCCTAGAAGGGCGCAGCGTGCGACGCAACATAGGACACAATAAACAAACTAGCCGGATCGACCGATAACAGAAGACTGCGACACAACCAAACCGTCCGTATCGCTGGCGCTCTCGCTTCCCCCATTTCCATGACAGGAACCCGAAGATAACAATCGCTGCTCAGACATGTCATCCCCTGCTGTGCTTGGACTGTGCACGCACGGGCGAATAAGCTCAACCCACCCCCTCGTAGCCATTGGAGGGGGGACGCCACGTCGCAACTGGCGATCACCGCGACGTTCATATGTTACCAGCAACGGCTACATGACCATCCTCAGTGTAGCTGTGTCTTCTTCGGGACCCTCCTGCCCTACCTACCTACGCGCGCGCGGACCTCCCGTCGCCCGTCTCCAAGCTCTTGGCCAAATCCTTTCGGTGACAAGCAACGATGTGCGACGCCAGAGCTGGCCGAACCCATCACCCAAACAACTCCCTTGTTCTCGTCGCCAGCAGCTTCGTTAGCGGTTGCGCAGTCCTGCTATATTATGTGTACCGTCTTCGTTGTCATCGTCCTCCTTGCCATTCCTCTCTCTCTCTCTCTCGCTCTCTCTCTCTCTCTCTCCTATTTTTTCCACTCCCCCTCCAATGAAAACCCCGAAGCCGTCCACGTAAACTGAAACAACTAATACGTTGCACCTTCCGTTTTCCTCTGCGCTGCCTTGGGACCTTCCAGAACTTCCCCACAAATCCTACACGTCCTCATGACACCCTGGGCCGCCTAAACAGACCACGCCCCTCCAAATCCCACCAGCCCTCTGAGCGTCGGTGGTTTAACGGATTTTGAAGTATCTCTCCCTCTCTTTTTTTGTCTCTCTCTCTCTCTCTCTCTCTCTCTCTCTCTCCCTGGCAAAACCTCTCCTTCCCCTGCTTTGGGAAAGGGGTGTATCACTGTTCCCTAGTACACGTTTATGATCATACCCACTATCATTTTTTGTTTTAAAAGAAAAGAGCAACGCAACACACACACACTGCCTCCGTATTCGGAGCATGCGCAGACAACCCGATGCGGGCGCCCCACCATCCCAGTCAAAACATCAATACCAAGTATAATGTTGAGCAATGTCTTGTGTCATGTTCGTGAGGCCCGCGAGCACTTTGCACTGTATTTTGGGACGGGGACGGCGGGTGTGTCAGCAGGTTGCCTGCGGTGCGCAGGGCCACCCAGCCCATAAACAATACAAAATGCGCATCGCGGCTATATCTGGATCATGCGTGTCCACCCCGCGATCACTGTCAAGTGTTTTTTGGCAACGACGGCGGGCGTGGTGGCGTATGGCCTGCTGTGAGCAGGCCTACCAGACACAATGATGGGCATTGTTTTTCGACAGGGATGGTGGGGGCCGACATGTTTCCCGATGTGTGCTGTCACGTGCGCAGGCGCACCAGACATGCTCTGCATCGAACGTGGCGCACCCGGCACGGCTGGAGTATGCGGTACACCTGGCGAACGTGGCGCATCCGGCGCACCAGGCTTTGGAGGTAAGAAAGGGGTATGGTATACAGGGGTGTGGTGTTAAGAGGGGAATATGGCGCTGTTATTTATCGCAGATAGCATCGCTCTTTCCACGATTGGCACCATACCCCTTTATGCCACACCCCTTTCCGACCTCCAGACAGGCGTGCCTGGCACGCTCGGGCCCCAGGGGTGCCGGGCGCGCGTGGCGCGCCTGGCACGCGTGGCGCGCCTCGCCCCAGCGTCGCGCACATGGGCTCGGTTTTGGTTCCCAGTAGCTGACCATCCAAAGACGACCGCTGAACATGCTGCGGCTCGGATGTTACTTATGTGTTGGGAGGGCGGGCGGGAGTGAGCTAGACGGCTTGCTATCTAGGAGGGTGTCCTGACCCCTCCCCCTGCCCCTACCCCTTCCCCTGGGCCTGGGAGGGGGGGGCGCGGCTAGTTAGAGCGCCCAAGATGGCTCCAAGGGGGCCTCAGAGCCCAAGGTGGCCTCCAAGATGGCTCAAAATACCGCAGGATGGTTCAAGATATCCTCCGGCACACATCCAAGAGGCCTCAAGGCGGCCCCAAGACGGTTTCAAGTGCCCTCCGAGCCCTCCCAGGACCCCAAAATCATTCGACAACCGCTGGAAAATCAATAAGTTTTGCCTTTTCGCCTTCTCGCTTCCGACGGGCTCGTAAGGCCTCAAGATGGCCCCAAGACGGCCCAAGAGAGCCCCAAGAGGAGCCCAACAGGGCCTCAAGAGGGCCCCAAGAGGGTCCTTAAAGGGCCTCAAGAGGGCCCCCAAGAAGGCTGCAATGCATCATTTGGGAGCCTGCGGGGCAAATTGAGCCCCCCCCCGCCTTTCTGATCGATGGCGTCCAAGATGGCCCCAAGAGGCCCCCCAAGGCCCCCAAGGGACCCTCAAGAGGGCTCCAAGAAGTCCGGAATGAGGTTGCCATCGCACATTCAGGAATAGCTGAGTGTAGAAAGTAGAAGGCGCGATTGCGACGGATGGCGATGGGATGTGAGAATGGCCTTGACGCGGCAGGCAACACCCGAGCATGATCGCCCGCCCTTGGGACGTTCCCTCAAAGTCAAGAGGGCCCCAAGAGGGCCTCAAGACCCTCCAAGAGGACCCCAAAATCCTTCAAAATAGCCCCAAGATGGCTCCAAGAGAGCCTCCGATGCTCCCAGATGGCCTCCAAGATGCCCGACGAGGGCCACAAGACGGTTCAAAGTGCTCTCGGAGCTCCCACAGGACCCCCTCAAGAGGCCCACATCCTCTGAAAACACAGGGAAAATCAATGATTGTTGACTTCTCGCCTTTTGGTTTCCGATGCGCTGTTGAGGCCTCAAGATGGCCTCAAGATGGCCCAAGATAGGCCCAAAAGGGGCCCCAGAGGCTTCCCGGCAGCCCCAAGAGTGCCCAATAGCACCCCAAGAGGGCTCAAAGAGATGATGATGATGATGGTCCCTGGGGGGATACCAAACGTTACGACCCCCTCTCTTTTCGCCGACACCCTCCACGATAGCCCCAAGAGACCCTCCAGGGCCCCCAACAGGCCCCCAAGAGGGCCCCAAGAGGGCCCACGACCCTCCGAAAGAGCTCCAAGAGGACCCCAACATCCATCAAAAGAGTTCCAAGAAGGCTCCAAGACGCGATTTCGAGGGCTCTGTCCTCGTCCTCATTGTCCTTCTCCTTCTCCTCATCGTCCTCGTCCTTGCCCTCATCGTCTTCCCGCCCTTTTCCTCCTCTTCTTCGTCGTCAAGGTCGTCGTCGTGGTCGTTTTCTTCCTCTTACTCCGCCTTCTCCTTCTCCTCCTTCTCCTCCCCCCTTCCCTCGCCCCCACGCGGGCCCCAGGGTTGGCCCGAAGAGGCCCTCCAAAGCCACCCCCTTGTTCCCCGATCTCTCTGTTCACCCTGGTTGCCCGCCCTGATTCACTATATGCGTCTCTTCGTCCCTTTCCCGTCAACTCTCATGGGCAAAATTTCCGAATGAGCTGGTGAAGATACGCGAAGCGTGAATCATTACCGTCGTCGTTTCCCTCCTCTCGCAACTCGCTTTCTTCCGAATACCCGCGCCCTGCCGCACCACAAGACGTGTGGTTTGGGCGGGCAGGGCGGGTTCGCCCAAGACTTCCCCAACGCTGTCTCAATTGAGCCTCAAGGCTTTGAACAGTTCAACGGATGGAAGGCGGGTCGTTGTCAAACTGGAACTATCGCCGTGGCAACGCGCACGCTCTGCTTTTTGGTTTCCAGCAATTGCACGGGTGGTGGTGGCCCGTTTTCAAAATGGGGCTCTCGCCATGGCGCCGCGCGCACAAGCTTCCAACAACTGCTCTGACAACTGAAAGCCCGTTTTCAAAATGGGACTATCGCCTGATACTCCTTCAGCGTTGACACCGGAAATGTACAACACTGTGTAGCAATTACCCGGATGGAGGACGATTATTTTTCACAGTGAGGTTTTCGCTCGGGACGCCTGAAGAATATGTGTTCCGAAGTCTCTCATGGTGCAGCATCTATCTCGGATTGATCGTGGATTCTTATCAAACCAAGGCTGTCGCTGGACACTGCCTTGAAATTTTAAACCACACCTTGTCGCGCTCCGTATAGCTCGAAAGGTGGGGGGGCGATTCGTTTCAAACTGAGCTCCCGCCTGAATAGCGGGGCCCATCGGGCGTCCGTTGTTCAAAGGGGCGTTTCGCGCAAAGAACAACACATTCGTGAACAACGAATGCTATGAAAACGCCATGAGCGTTCCAATGCCGCGTGTCTCAAACACAAAGTGCGAAACATGTGTTGTGCTGTGTGCGCGTGCCGTGTCCGCGTGCCGCAGCGTGCCACCTACGTTCTACAATGCGAAACAGCGCCCTGCCGCGCCTACGTTCCAGAGCGCGGAATCAGCCATGCCTTGCCGTGCCCGCGTGCCGTACGCGTACCGTGCCCACGTTCTAGAATGGTACATAATGTGCCGTGCCGAGCCGTGCACGTGCCGTGCCCGCGTGCTGTACCATGCGCGTGGCGCGACGGCGTACAGTGCCGTGCCCGCGCCGTGCCCGCGTGTTATGCCGTGCAGGCGTGCTGTGCCCGTGCCGTGCCTAGCTTTCAGACACCATACGCCTTATCGTGTACTCCAGATTTCGTAATAAAGGGAGGGGGGTCTCATTTCGGGGGGGGTCTTTTCCAAGCTATCTTGGAGGGCCTGGGGGGGTCTGGGGACGATGCTTTGGAGGGTTCTCCCAGGGGGGGGTCTAAAACTTCTCGTCTGGGAGGGTTGAGACCCCCTCCCTTTTATTACGAAATCTGGAGCAGCGTTGGCTCAGACTATCCACGTCGGTGCACTGTTCGTGGGGGCTCCTATGCAGATGGAGGCTGG